TACTCCTACGATAAAAATAATGCCCTAAAATATAATACTTTCAGACTATTCTCTCCCCCATAGACTTCAATGCCGTAAACATATTTCATCCAGTAAAAATTGATTTTTTTAAGCAATGATTGTTAAAATCATATAGACTCAATGCAACAAAAACTCTCATAGAATTTAGGTGGGATTATAACTTGCAATCAACTTTTTTTTAAAAAATTGCAATCAACTTGATGAGAGTAGTTTTTGTTTTGGCTATTATGGCTTTGAATATACTTTTCATGAAAAGCTACATAACAAAGCTTTATATACTGAATTCATTTTTTCTGTGTGTATATGTGTCTGTAAGTGCTTGATGCACTTAACATGGAGAATATGATGTCTGCCATTTCCTGCTGGATGGAAGAAAACCCAGAGGCCCCTCCACTGTCAACAGACAGCCAAAGCTCCATGGACATTCCCATCTTAATCATCGAGGGTTTCCTTCTCTTCAGTTATAAGTAAGTATTGCCTTTCTGGTGCCGAGGCTGGATGAATGGGGACAGGAGTGAGTCTTGAGAACTGATACGCTGTTCTTCTAGGCCCCTTGACACTTTATGGAATAGAAGCTATTTTCTGACCATACCGTATGAAGAATGTAAAAGGAGGAGGAGGTAGGTTTTGTGATCCCTTTTGTGACCTGTAATCGGAAAAGACAAAACATGGGAAAACTGAGGGGTGCAACATTGTTTAACAATTTGTACACGTTACTTTTTGAAACAACGACTGCCTTACTTTCACAAGGAGCAGAACTTTGGCCGCCTACGCAGAGTAAAGCAAATTGCATTTTTTTTGTGAAAAATAGACTTTTGTAAGCTGTTTGGCTCATTTTTCCCCTAAACCATCAAATTAATCAGTTCCATGTTGATTTTACAGTCTAATGGTATCCTGCTACAGCCACAACAAATACCAATTATCCAAAAGTTTACTTGAACATATCATTATATTTACTTACATTGATAACTGACTTTTAGAGTCTTCTATAAAGCATTAGAAAGGAAACTATATTCAATGCATTGAATGGGAGAACTAAATTCATTTTCTTGCTTTTGTATGTGTTTGCATTGAACCTAAAGCATATCATGCTTGGATTTCATGTCTGAGCAAGTTTCGCATTATACCCACCAGTATTGTTTAACTTTATCAGCTGTATGTCTCTTCCTACATGAAGTTCCCTGCATGTTTTGATAGTACCAGGGTCTATGAACCGCCAGACCCGCCGGGCTACTTCGATGGCCATGTGTGGCCCATGTATCTAAGGCACAGAAGGGAAGTTGACACCATCACCTGGGAAATTGGTAAGCACCTTTCTAATCTCCACCTAACCTTTGACTTGTCTTTTGCTTCAAAGCACAAAAAAACGGGGAACTTAAGAGGCCTTTTCCTCAATTTGAAGATGAAAAAGGACCCCCTTCAGCCCAGAGCACTTTCGGGTTCGACTCTTCCTGCACTGGCTCTCCTGCTGTCTGTTTCTGAGTGAATCTTGTCAAAAGCATGGCAATTTCTAAACAATTATTTATCCAACAAATTGTAATTGAATCCTTCTATGTGGGGATACAGGGAAGATGGAGGCAGATACAGTGCCTTCTGTCATGGAAATAACATTCTAGCAGAGAAGACAGATTAGTAGCATAAGCATGATGTTATTGTTGCTCTTTTTATGTGCTGAATTAGAATAGCTGACCCTCCAGTGGGTTTTCAGAGGCAGTAAATGACAGAGGAGAAGATTATCCATCATTCATCCATAGAACAAATGGCTAGTAGATTCGAACCACCAGCTTTTGGGTTGGCAGTGCAATTCTTGTGCCACTAGGCCACCTTGCTATTTGATAAGTGCTACATTGGAGATGCAGAGGATGTGATAAGGCTAAGCTCCTAGGAACTACTTCAGTCTCACCAATAAGCTAGTCAGTCCTTGACTCCAAAGGTGAGCCAGACTCTTAAACATGCATTTATTTCCTAGGCCTGCTATAACAAGTTACCCCACTCTCAGTGACTTAAGACAACAGAAATGTATTCACCTATTAATAAGTGCTCAGCTGCTTACTGAAAGGCTGGCAGTGGGAATTCACCCAGACGTGCCACAGAAGACAGATTCTGGTTTGTGTAGAGATCACAGCCAAGGGAATCCTGTGCGGCAGTTCTTCTCTGGTGCACCTGGGATGACCATGAGATGGAACTCACCTGGTGGCTCCCAACAACAGCATACTCTCGCTAAAGCCTCCTGAGGATCCTTCCTTACACTTCCAGCTTCTGGCAGCCTCTATGTTCCTTGGCTTGTGGGAACATAATTCTCTGCCTACAACATCCCATAATTGTTTTCCTTCTGTATCTTCTCTTTTTAGGACATCAGTTGTACTAAATTAGGGCCCACCCTATTCCACCATAGCCTCACTTCTGCAAAGACCCTATTTCCAAATGTGATCACAAGCCCAATTAATGAAGGTTGGGAATTTAGCTAACTTATGGAAAAAATGCAATTTAACGAGTTACAGATGTGTTTTAACTAGACAAAGGGTGTTGGAGGTGGAAGGATGGAGAGCGCCTGAGGCTGTAGGTATGGCCATGGGGCAGGAAGGCTTGAGCAGAACTGAAAGATCAGCTTGTTTGTGATAGAGAAAACTGAGAGTGAGATTCGATGGTGGTGATACAGCCAGGTCCAGGCCTTACAACTGGCCAGGCAATATGCACCATTTTCCTAAAACAAGTGGGAAACCCTCTACACAGAGAGGTTTGAAACAGGGACTTGATTGATACAAAGTTCTTGTTTTGATAAAATCAATCTGGCTACATGGAGGATGGATGTAGAGGGCTGTAGTGTTTTGTGTATTTACTTAATAGAGCTGGATGAGAGTAGATATGGAGGAGAGAAAATTGGAGTATCAAAGATACACCTTACTTTGGGAAACAGAAAAGTGAAAGGCTTGCTTTTCTAAGAGACAAATACAAGTCTGTTTGAAACATAATAAGGTTGAGAAGCCTGAGAGACATGAAGCAGCAAATCAGAGGTTGATACTGGATCTAGAGGACAGAGCCAAGTACAGATCTCTGAACTCATAGTTCAAGGCTCGGAAGCTGGCAGGAAGCCAGTGAGAGGAGAAGTTGATGAGCAGAGGGATGAGACCTGAAGTACACTTCTCAGCATACAGAGGTGCAGGCTCCAGGGTGGTTGTGCCAGAGCTAGGCAGAAAGCACAGGATATGTCAGCTGGCCATCATCATCTCGTCTTCAGTCCAGATCAGCCTCCTTGGGGTCTGGCCACACCACTTCCTGCCTGGAATTCCACTGCAGGGGCCTATCTTCTCACTGTCCCTTTCTCCCTATCCATCTGAAATGCATGTGAAACTGTGCCTTTTCCCTAATGAAGTGCTTTCAAAGAGCGTCCAGCTCTTTGGGATAAAATCCAAAAATAGCCAGCTATCAAGGCCCCTCAAGACAAAGTACAGCTTTGCTCTGGAATTGCACCTCTCCAACTTCCACCATCCTGCATTCCAGCCAATCTAAACTATGCCTGTTAATAGAGAATGCTCTCATACCCACCTGTCTGACCTGTGTCTTCTGAGTTTAAGGCCTTCTCTTTAACCTCTTCATGTGTCTTCAGGTCAGTTCCAGCTCACAGCGACCATAAGTACAACAGATCAAAATCTTGCCTGCACTGTGTCACCCTCCCAGTCGGCCATGCTCAAGCCCATTGCCGCAATCACAGTGTCACTCCATCCTGTTGAGAATCTTCTGCTCCTTCACCGACCCTCTCCTACTTTCCAAGCCTGGTGTTCTTTCCCAAGGATTGGCCCTTCCTAACAAGATACTCACAGTATATGAGACAGTATGAGTCCTTGCCTCTGGCTGCACTTCACACCTCACCAAGCTGCTGGTCCTTTTGGCCCATGGTACATTCAGTTCCTCCAACCAACACCATAATTTACAGGCATCCAATCTTCTTTGGTCTTTCTTATTAATTTCTCAATTTCCACATGCACATGAAGTATTTGAAAATATCCTAACTTGGATCAGGCACACATTAGTGCTTAAACAGACATCTTTAGGGAGCTCTGGTGGCAAGAAGCTGTGCTGCAATCCTGAAGGCGCATGGTTCGAATCCACCAGATGCTCCACTGGAGAAGGAGGGGCAATCTCCTCCTGTACCAGTCGGACCTGACTCGATGGTACACAACAAGAAAAGGCGAGAGAAAAAAAATAAACTGACATCTTTTCTCTTTAACACTTTAAAAGGTCCTTGATGACAGATTTGCAGCATGTCTTTAGATTCCTAGATACTTTGTACTTTTCCCCAAAAACTGCTTTTACTTAAAATATGTATTCCTCAGCCTGACAGTTTCTGATTCAATACATTTGAGCAAAGCCTAAGCTCCTGCATAAATTAAGGAATTTTACATGTGATCCTGTTACATACATGTCCACATTCACAATGCCACTTAACAGTGTTCCTTTTGAATTTTACAAATGCAGTTTTTCACAATAGCTAATGCTTGGATTTCTTTGTTACAAACTCTAGTTTTCATCTGTTGCATCTGGCTCTGATCTATTTTTCTCCTACATTTAAAAAAATATTGTTCAGAGTTCTTTGTTTAAGCTTATTGTATTTGCAAGAGATGCCCACTTTTATTGCCTGTATTAGAGTTTTCCATTGTGTATGTGTGAGTGTGATTAACTGATAGATCTTGATTGATTGACTCCCGTGATTGTGGAGGCTGCTAGCCAGTCCAAAATCCACAGGGCAGGCAGCCGACTGGAAACTCTCAGCAAAGTGGCTGCATTACAGTCTTGAAGCAGAGTTCCTTCTTCTCCTGGAAACCACAGTGCTTCCTCTGAAGGCCTTCAACTGCACGTCTGAGGTGCAGCCACATTATAGAGGGTCCACTGCTCTGCTTAGAGCTGATGGTTGTAAATGTCAATCACATTAGCAAAATACATCACAGTAGCATCCAGACTGGTACTTGATAAAACAACTAACTGGACACTGCAGCTTCAACAATAAAGTTAAGTCTCATATCACCTTTTTTAAGAGGTGGCTGAGTTAATCATAATGTTAGAATCTAAACTGCTTCTTTACCTCTTCTCAGTTTACCTAGATGGAACAAAGTCTGAAGAAGACCTCTTTTCCCAAGTATATGAAGACATAATGCACCAACTAGCCAAGCAAAAGTGTAAGTATTATCCTAGTAAGGCAGATAAGAGAGGAGAAATTAGTATCCATCATAAAATAACATTAAGAGGGATTTTCTTTTTCTTTTTTTCTTTCTTCTAAGAGGGATTTTCTTTATTCATTTATTCATTGTTTTGAAGATAAGAATTAGAAGTGCCTTATAGATTTGAAGACTTGATTATCCCCTCTCCTCAATTATTGAAAGGTTTATAGTTCAGAAGACAAGGTTGTTATGTGAAAATTAGCATTGTATAAAAATGGAGGATGCTGACGCCAGATGAAAAAAATTGAAGTTAATTATATTATTACATAACTGCCAAACTATTACATGCATGTTTTATTATATTACACTTGGAAGCACGTGTGGCATCCACTTCCTAAACATCGTGCCTCTGGAAACTCTATGAACTTTGATAAATGATGATAGTTATAGAAAGACTTCAGGCATTTTGTTCATAGGGTCGCTATGAGTCATGCGCAACTCGACAGCAATCAACAACAACAACAACAACATTATATTACATAACAGCCAAACCGCTGAAATCATGGTCCTGCCAGACTGACAAATGACCTACTGTTGGAGCCAGCATTACCCCTCCCACCTCAGTGCTTATTACTGAAAGATGGGCATCATTAATGTGCAACACAGTCAGTAGATATTTTTACTCTTGTAAAAGCACAATGGTGAATATTATTGTTTTGTTAGGTGCCACCGAGTCAGCTACAATCCATAGAGACCCTGTGAACTAATTGGACCATTAGTCAGGATGACAGTAGCATCGATATACCTTTTATTTGTGGTATTGGAGAAGAGCACTGCTATGACATGGACTGCCAAAGAACAAACAGGATTGTCTTGAAGGCAGTGCAAGGAGGATGGTCCTAGAGTCAAGGATGGTGGATAATGAGATAGTCGATAAATGAGGAGTAGGTATATTTTGTTTGCGAGTTTTTTGGGTGGGGCAAAACCCATTTTCCTTTTGCTACATTTTAAATGATATTTGTGTTATTTTGCTTAATAGCTTTAGTAAAAGACTCTCATTTCAATGGCAAAGAAATTATCTCTTGGACAAAGTGAAGTTAAAATGTTGGAGCTTTTATTTTAATATGTGTAGAGTTCCCCCTTCTCCTATATTTCCCCTTAAAGATTTTTTCTGTAATTTTATACTTCCCAAATATCTCACAAATAAACACAAGATTTTTACAATTATTTATTGAGTATTTCTTTAAAATTGTTATATTACCGCTGCTTTGTGAGTGACAGAAATCCACCAAAATCTTGCATGATCATAAAGGAAGAACGGGCTTCCCGTGACAACTTCACGCGAGGCTGGATCAAGGAGTGCAAATGGAATTTGGATTGATTTTAATGTCAGGTCCTCTCTGTTGATGGGCATACCTATTGGCAGCACCATCTTCTTAGTGGGAGGAAAAAATCTTTTCAGATTGGCCACCAGTTGATAAATTTTGAAACTGGAGGTCAGGTACAAAGGTGTCTCATATATAATTAAGACTTTTTTTTATGTTTGGAATTATGCAACTGAACAGTTTTTCTTGAAGCTATTTTTCATTTTAGCTCGGCTAAAAGGTTTCAGAGAACCCTTTGATCACTTTTTCTTGGGTTGTCTGTCTTTTGCTTAACCAATCACTGTGGAGGGGGATGGCTAACTCTGCATTGGCTAGGACCATATCATGCATCCCATCTTGTAAACCAGCGCCCTACCCTAGGCCTTCTGGGCTTGAAGGAAGAGATTCCCACAAAGGGAAAGCAAAGGAGTGGGAGTAAAACCAGAAGGATGAAAAACATCCTGTGTAGAGAAAACCAGAGATCTGCTGTTTAATTTTTAGTATTGAAACTAAAATACTTGCCATGACTAATACATGTAAATTTAAATTGTCTACTGGGGAGAGGAGACAATCTGAGAAATTCCACTAGTGAAGGATCTCTGCTTTTCTGATGAGAAGCAAATCTTCCTGGTTCATATGCCATCATCTCTCAATAAAAACTAGCTGTCTTATTCTGGGCTGTTGTCATAAGTATAATGCCTAATCATATATTCCTTTTAAACAGCTCTTTCCTTCATATGTTCCAATAAAGTATTCGTTATCTATCCACTCTTATCCTATTCTCCCCCCACCCCCCATGTAGACCTGCTTTATAACAGTAGTGCTATTCAGTATTTGTCCTTCTGTGACTGAGATATTTCACTCAGCATGATGTCCTCCAGGGTCACCCATGCTGTGTAATGTTTTATGAGTTAATCATTTTTCAGTGCTGCATAATATTCTATCATATGAATATACCATAGTTTTTCTATCCATTCATTTGTTGATGGGCACTTGAGGGTGCGGGTGGGGGGTAATTGTGCAATAATGAATGAATGAAAATCCAATTTTTCTGTAAACTTTCATTAAAATCACAATTAAAATTAAAAATTTTCTAAAAATAAAAAAGAATTCACTATCTTATGTCCTCACTGCATTCTTCCAACTCGGGAATTGAGCCCAGCCAGGCACACAGCTGATCTTGCTCACTATTGTTGAATCGGCCCCCCACTTGAGGATGACTCTATGCAGATAAGATCTGACCATTATGACCCATCAGTATTTTATTGCCTTATTTTCAGAAGAGATCACCAGGCCTTTCTTCTTGTCTATTTTTGTCTGGAAACCACTGAAACTTGTAGCAAATCATTGATGAATATCAGCCTCCATATTCCTGGAGGTGCACTGGACGGGAATCAAGCTTGGGTTTCCTGCACGGAGAGGGAGCATCTCCCACTAACCACCTTTGTCCCTTCCCATCCCCTGTTGATCTAAAGCAAAGATTCACTGCTAGCACACAGAACCCTGTCAGACAGAGTAGAACCCATGGGGATTCATGGCTAGAAATCCACCAAAGCAGACTGCTACATCCTTCTCCTGAGTGGTGGCTAATGGCTTCAAATCACCCACTTCTCCTTTAGGAGCTGGTGGTTAACTCCACATTTCAGGATCAGCCTTTTTCCTAGACCTGGATCCACTTATAGTAGTTTTTGGACCATTTAACAATTCCTGAATGCAGGGCTTATAATCTGCTAGCTATGTCTGCCCCGCGCTGCCATCCCTCACACTGTGGAAGGCAGGCCTGCCGTAACGAGGCTCAGGCACTGGCACAAGTGGAAATGCAGTGTAGGTGAAAGCAGGGCTTCACCCTTCATAAATGTTAACTCCTGAGACTCGAAATGAGAAGCAGCCAGCCAGAGGCACTTATCCCCTTCTGACCCTCATGAGATGGCCCAAGGGTCCTTCAGAAGCCAGGTGTCTGCTCCATAATGCCCAGAGCTCAGCTCAGTCCTCCTTTGGCAGCTAAGTCCTACACGATGATTCAGCTTTATGATCCTGCCTGCTGACGAAAATGAACACTGCCTTAGTCATGGAGCTCAGGCAAACTGTGCCCAACCCTGTAAATGTCAGCTCCTGCCCTCTGCCACAAGGCTCTGGGACTGCTGGCTAACTCCAACAGTTGCTGAGAGCCACAAGAAACATTTCCACGTGTGTGGAACCCTCCTGCCTTGCCTGCATCCTAGAGGCAAGTAAGGAATTAATCAGCTATGCCATTTAAGGTTTCTGTCTTGCTTATGGTCTAGGTATTGGATAGCATTTAAAATGAAAACTATAGAAACCTTGGAAGAGTCCTAAGTCTAAAGCAGATCAACTTTTCAGACTTCTAAGAGCTACGTTATTTCTCTCTCAGTTGCATAAATAAGCTTAGCTGTGTTGTTTATAGTATTCTCACCACCTTCCCAGTTGTTCGAAGCACAGTGACCAAGCAGAGCCAGCCTGGAAGATCCTCACGTGGTCCACTTAACCCTCAGCATAAGGCTGAGCGAGCTGGGGACCTTCCAGAGGTAACTATTGACTATGCTTCAAGCTTGTTCTCATAAAAGCTCATAAACCTGCTTAGCCAGTTCTTCATTCTAAGAATGTATAACTAATTGTGCAAAGTTAATCAAAGGGAAAGAATAAAGATTGAGTTCTTAATGAAACACTACATAATCCAAGAGAGGTTATAAGTTACAAATTCAAACCTTATTTAAATCCTAACTTTAAGGCAATAAATAATCATTACCTTGTTGCTAGTATGTTGGGAGCTCTGGTGGCAGAGTATATAGTGGTTCGAATCTACCAGCAACACTGCAAGAGGAAGATGGGCAATCTCCTCCCTTGCAGTTTCCAGCCTTAGAAACTTAATGGAAGGTCAGTTGTGAGTCAATTCTGACTCAATGGCAATGACTTTGGCTTTTGTTCTGAAAATAGCAAAGCCGTCTAACCATCAGGAACATTTAAACTTCTTTAAAACATTTATTCTCATCTTGGAGTCGCTGGGTGGGGAAAACAATGCATTCAGTTGCTGACTGAAAGGTTAAATGTTCAAATCTACCCACAAGTGCCATAGATTAAAGACTTGACAGAAACTCGGTCATTGGAAATCCTGAGAAGCACAGTTCTTCTCTCCACACACCAGGTTACCAGAGAGTGGAATCCATTCAGTGGTCATTGGTTTGGGGTGAGTTTTATTATTGTTGTTGATGTTGTTATTTACATCTCATTAGAAAAGCATAAGTATAAATCGTTTTTAATAAAAGGAAAATATGTCACCTGTGTTTCCACTAATCAGCAGTGTTAGCATTTTAATAGTACACCTTCCAGTCTTCTTGTTTGCATTGTAATCTCCATTTGTAAAACCTTGCAAGGACGCTTACTAGCTATGTGCATTTCTCTTTTCAAACTAGTACTCAATACTTAATCCGTTTCATGTATTTTGTTATATGTAATCCATAAATAAAGTGTTTCAGTTAAAAGATTCAACACTTAAAAAAAAAATCTACCCATATTGCTGTTTTTATTCTTTCTGAGTTATATCCCTGGCATAAATTCCCAGGAGAATTACTTACTTGGTCAAAGCATATAATCATTTTTAGATATTTCAAAGATTAAATATTACACTAAAGAACGTGTGTGCTCCTAACAGAAATTGCTGTGTAGGAAGAAAGCTATATTTATCTTTGAGTTTCTAAACCAAACTGATCCAGTATTCAGATGGTTTTCACTGAGATAAGTAAACATATCAAAGGTAACAATACCTCTTTCTCTAAAGCAAGGATAAGACTTCAAAACGAGACTTATACTGTAGTATATTGAGATTACAGGAGACTAAAGTGCACCTGATACAGGCCATGGTATTTGCAATCGCTTGTTATGCATCAGAGAGTTGGACAATGACTAGGGAGGACAGATGGAGAGTGGATGCTTTTGAGCTGTGGTGCTGGAGAAGGGTACTGAATGTACCCTGGACTGCCAGGAAAACAAACAGATTTATCTTGGAGAGGATTAAACCAAGCTACTCCTTGGAGGCAAGGATTCTGGGGCTTCATCTGACATACTTTGGACATGTTGCCAGGAGGGACGGGTCTTTGGAGAGGGACATCATGCTTGGGAGGGTTGAGGGACAACGCAGGAGGGGAAGACCCTCTATGAGATGGATTGATTCGGTGACTAGGGTAATCGGAATGGGTGTGTCAGAGGTGGTGCGGTTGGCGCAGGATAGAGCAGGGTTTAGGGCTGTTGTGCATAGGGTCGCTATGAGTCGGAAACAACTCGACGGCACATAACAACAACAGCAACATATTGAGATTGGTTGCATTCATTTATGAATGCACATATTCTTCCCTCCCTCAGTTACCTTTGTAATGTTTATCCTGTTTCAGGCTATTAATTATAATACACATGATTTCTATAATCATTCCTTACTTTCAGAGAGTCCTTCTCTCACTCATTCCAGTGCAGTGTCCTTGCCATTCTTTTTTGCTCTTCTCCCATCTCCCCTGTCTGAATCCTTTTATTACAATAGTGAGTTTATTCAGTATTTGTCCCTTTGTGACTGAGATATTTTACTCAGCATAATGTCTTCCAGACTCATCCACATTGTCAAGTGTTTTATGAGTTCATTGGTTTTCAGTGCTGTGTAGTAGTCCATTCTGTGAATGTACCATCCGTAGTACTCTATCCATTTATTTGTTGATGGGCACTTGGGCT